ATGGTGATGGTGATGGTGATGGTGATGGTGGTGGTGGTGGTGGTGGTGATGATGATGATGATGATGATGATGATGATGATGATGATGATGATGATGATGATGATGATGAGGAAGAGGAAGAGGAGGAGGAGGAGGAGGATGAGGAGGAGGATGAGGAGGAGGAAGAGGATGAGGAGGGGGGGATGATGAGGGGGCATGGCAGGAGCAGCGGCAAAAGTTGCAGGAGCAGGCGGCAGGAGCAGGAGCAGGGCTGCGTCTGCTCCTCGCCCTCCTCCTCGTCCTCTTCCCTCCTCGTCTTCCCTCTTCGTCGCCGTCGTCGTAGTCGTCGTCGTCGTCGTCGTCGTTGTTGCCCTTCTCTTCCTCTTCGTCCGCGTCGTCGTCGTCGTCGTATTCCTCCTCTTTCTCCTCCTTTTCTTCCTCCTCCTTGTCCTCGTCGTTGTCGTCGTCGTCGTCGTCGTGGTCCTCCTCCTCCTCCTCCTCCTCCTCCTCCTCCTCCTCCTCCTCCTCCTCCTCCTCCTCCTCCCCCGCCGAGGGCGTCTGCCGCGAGGGCCTGTGCTACTGCCGCACCGGCTTCTCCGGGCAGCTCTGCGAGACGAGGCGGCGCTCCCAGGCCCCCGATTGTTTGGTCGCTCGCCCGCCCTTGGGCGCTGCCTGACATGCTCGCGTCGTGGTCGTCGTTTTCTTATATATTCATTGTTTTGCCGATCGGGGGTGGTCCTCGTGCTCCCCCCTCCCCCCCCATGCAGTAGATCTTGGCTGTTTCGGGAGCCTGCTTCAAGCATGTGGACGACTCCCCATAGGATTCCCCATCTGAGCACTGTTCCAAGCAGTCTCGCAACGCAGAGGTCCGGAGCCAGACCCGACCCCCCCCCTTCCCCCCTTCCGCTCAACGTCGAAACGCCGAAGAAGATGCTCACGCGAAAGAATCGTCGGCCTCTGGGGGCGCTCGCCGGGCCCAGGATTGTCAAACGATTACGCAGGATGGACAGCCGACCCCGGGGAAGAGGCTCGGGACTTCCGGGCACCGCGACGTGAAACATGAGGAAGTCGCATGTTTGGGTAAGGGTCGGGTGTTGCTAGAAGTGCCCCTGGCCCAACGTGCCCCCAGGATTTCCAGTGAGGCCCCAGCGGCCTCCAGAGCAGCCCTGACGAGGCCCAGGGGGTCCAGGACTGAGCGAAAAGCTTGGAGCACCTTGGGACATGGGACACCTCTAGCGACCCCCGACTCGAGGGTGGGGTGACCCCGGAGAGGTGCGATCACAAGCCAGCCTCTGGCCCTGTGGGCTTTCTGCTCCCCTCACCCCTGTCGTCCACCAAACGGCGCAATCATCATTTTTATAATCAGACTGGTCGCATCTGTAAACGTCGATTGTCACCGCCGTCGAAGAGATCTGCATATACGGCGTCATGCGACCTTCAAATGACGCCATGAGAGCTCCGAATCGGTTCCACGATGGCCCCTAGGCCCCGAAAATGCCCTCAAGACGGCCCGAGAGGTTGACGTTTCTTTGGCATGAGAGACACTGTGACGACAATGCGGCCCAAGTGGGAGGGCGAAGTCTACCTGCTTCTAGAATCTAGAGTATTTGGAGCCCAGGCCAAACACCGTTTCCACATTCGTTTCCACATTCTAGCCATAAGCGTCTACAGACACATTGGATGTCGGTACATAGATTGTCAGTCGGGGTGGATGCGTCTATAGACAACGCGGCCGCTGCGTTCGGCGCAGTACAAGTTCGGCTATCCGTTCTAAAGTATGCTCCTGTTCTAGAGCAGATCTCACATGGTACTCCAAGGCCCAAACAGAGGAGGAGGAGGAGTAGGAGGGGAAGGGGGAGGAGGAGATGGAGGAGGAGGAGGAGGAGGTGGAGGAGGAGGAGGAGGAGGAGGAAAAGGAAAAGGAGGCGGAGGAGGGTGGAGGAGGAGGAGGAGGAGGAGGAGGAGGAGATGGAGGAGGAGGAGGAGGAGGAGGAGAGGAGAGGAGGAGGAGGAGGGAGGAGGAGGAGGAGGAGAGGAGGAGGAGGAGGATGAGGAGGAGGAGGAGGAGGAGGAGGAGGAGGAGGAGGAGGAGGAGGAGGAGAGGAGGAGGAGGAGGAGGAGGAGAGGAGGAGGAGGAGGAGGAGGAGGGAGAGGAGGAGGAGGAGAGGAGGAGGAGGAGAGGAGGAGAGGAGGAGGAGGAGGAGGGAGGAGAGGGAGGAGGGGAGGAGGAGGAGGAGGAGGAGGAGGAGGAGGAGGAGGCGGAGGAGGAGGAGGAGGAGCGGAGGAGGAGGAGGAGGGG